GTCTCCTTCCAGCTCCTGGTGCTGGACCTTGCATCCCCCAGTCTCCCTGCCCCTGCTGGGGCCTCGGGGCCTCAGTTTCTCGTCTGCCAAGTGGGCACATTCACCTCTGCCCCACTTATCCCCTAGGTCCCAGGGGAGTATATGCTCCTGAGTGTTACAAGTTGACTAATGTGCATGAATCCGTGGTTTGGTTTGTGTTACTGGGGATGCGAACATTGAGAACCGGGACTCGGTTGCTAAGGCTTCCCCCTCATGTACAGACGCTCCCCGTTCCCCATATTTTAGAGCAAAGAAAGAGACTAGAAGTGGAGACTGCGGGAAGGTGTGTGACTCAGTGGTGCCCGTGACCGCGAGACCCCGTGAGGCTGCGGGTTCGTGCGTGATTGCGGCATGACGGTGTGTGATCCTCTCTGTGCCCGTGGGGCGTGTGGGACGCCATGGTGGTGGCACGGTGGCGTGCAATGTGTGTGTGACTCTGTGGGACTTGTGAGTGCGGGTGAGGACGGGGAGCAGAGTCGTGTGTCCCTACCACCATGGCACTGGGTGTGACCGTGTAAGGGTGACGGCATGACGACATGACACCCTGAGAGCGTGTGCCTTATTGACAGTTGGGGAAGGTGTGCTGTCCGGGTGTGACTGTGGGCTCAGGCGACCGTGTGAACTGCGAGAGTGTGGATGGGTATGGTTGCGTGACCTTGTGTGTGGCCCCGCAGGTGGTGGTGGGCCAAGGGTTACATGACTGCGTGAGGGACTGCATATCGACGTGTGCATGTCATTGACGGTCATTCTTCCAGCCTCTGCTTGATGCCCAAGCTGGTGCTGAGTGATGCTGGGGACCCAGGGGTGACCGCAGGCCAGTGGGGAGACGAGACCTAGTGACTGGGCGGCTGACACGGCATCACGAGAACTGTGGGAAGCCGTGATTGTGTTGCTCTGTGAGTGGAGTTGCCTGCAGTCCGGGCCCACGGCTGTGTCACTGTGGATGACTGTCAGCCTGTGCAGGGAGTGTGACCACGGCTGTGTGCCACGGCTGGGTGGGATGGGTGGGACCGTGTGAGAGCCTGTGACCCCGGCTCCGTGACTGCTCTTCCACGTGACCCTGGGTGACTCTGATCCTTGCGCGCCACTGGCCGCCACCCCCCGCCGGGTCTCTGCCCCAGAGCTCCCCCTTCTGCTCCCTGGCCCCGCCCTCTCCCACCACCCCAGGCCGTCACCTCTTCCAGAGCTCAGGCGGAGGCTGTGGAGGCGACAGCCGCTGGAGTGAGTGATCGAGAGCAGATCTGGGGACAGGTGAGGGCTTTCCCAATCCCAGCCCATTCCCCCGCCCCCATGTCCCACTCAAGCCTCTGGGTCCCTCTTTCTCTGTTTCTTAGCTCATGCCTTTGTCTCTTTGTCTCTTTGTCTCTTTGTCTCTCTGTGCCCTCGCTCTCTATCTTCCTGTCCGCCTGTCTCTCTGTAGTTCTGTCTCCATGTCTCCCGATCTCTGTTTAGCCTCTGGATGGCTCTGTTTCTGTCCCTTTATCTCTCCTTGCCCCATTCTCTGTGTCTCTCTCCATGTCTCTGTCCCCTCTTTGTCTCCTAGCCCACATTTTTATCTGTCTTTTCCTCTCTGGTCTCTTGCTGTGTGTCTCATTCTGCTTAGTCTGTATGTCTCTCAGTCTCTATATTTCTGTTTTGCCCATTTCTGGGGCTCCATCTGAGCTCTTCCCTGCTTCCCCCTTTCCCCACACGGAGCTGTGGGCGGGAGGATTGGGGTTAGACCCATTTTCAGGCATCTGGGCCCCTGCAAACCTAAGCCCAGGATCTGACTCCTCTCTGGTCCCTAGGGAGAGGGTTGTTCCATTGACTCTGGGCTTCATCTACAGCGGGCAAGTTTTTTAAGGTCGGGATCCTATTTGCCATTTGAAGACCCTCTGGGCCGGTAAAGCGGGAACTCTGAGGGTCATTTCAAGCTCCATGCCCGACGCTTACCTCTCCAAGGCAGTCCCCAGATTCCCCAGAATCTCTAGGTCTAGACTCCGGGTGACATTAGCGCTTCCGCCCAAAGCAGCTCTAAGGGCAACCGCGCCCTCAGCAAACACCCCCTTTCCACCGCCGCTGCCCCAGCAACAGTTGGGGGCGGGCCTGGGAATCACGTGCTGGATCTCGGCCTCGCCCACTCTTCCCCCACCCCACAAGTCCTCACTGGTGGGGGCGGAGGGGGGCCACTGCCTACTAGTCCGCCTGTTTGAATCTCAGAGCAGGTGGCGCCGGGGGCTGGAGGCGGAGGGCCGAGGCTCCTGACTCTGCGCCCTGACCCTCCAGGCCGGACTGCCCCTACTAGACCAGACCCTTCGCCCCCCATGCCCCGCCGCCCTCACGATGCCGAACTGTCCGCCTTGGCGGCTGCTACTGCTGCTCTCGTGGTGGGGGCCGCTGCTCCGGAGGGCGGAGGTGAGGACCCCAGGAGCCACAGGGGTTCAAGGCTAGGAGGGAGGTCTGGGGACAGTTTTAAGGCTTCCCCCGCTGCAGAGAGAGTTTTAAGAC